ACTTTCAGGCATGTTGAGATGGTAAAACTGATTTTGCCGCTCAGTTTCTGTTCATCTGTCTCCTATCTGCTGCTTCAAGAAAGCTCCATCTCACAATACTATAGCTGATCTAGAGAAGTTGGGTCCAGAGGAGGGCCATGAAGATAATGACAGGAACTCTTATCACTGGAACACTTCTCTTATGAAAAAGGTTGAGGGAACTGGGCTTGATTAGCTTGGAAAAAAGAAGGTTCCAGGGAGACCTCATTGTGGTCTTTTAGTACTCGAAGGGAGCGTATAAACAGGAGAGCAAACAACTTTTGAGAGTTGCTGTGAAAGTGCTTATAATTGAATTCTTTCATCATAAGAAAGTTATTTAGAGCAGTATTATTTAATGCATATTTAATGCAAATACGTGATAATTGATGTTAGGTATCTATATGCCTTTTCTTCCTTGTAAACACAGGAGTGAAAAACCTGTTAACACAGGTGAACCAACTGCTACTTGAATCTCTGTTTTTACATCAGGTGCCCTTTCTCTGCTCCCTATCAACAGCAGCACAGGTCACAAAGTTTGTGAAGAGATCCAAGTCAGAACACATTCAGTCAGTGCTTAACAAAAACCTCTCTGTGGTATGTCCAAGGTATTGCCACTCTAATCTTCTGGTAATCTACAGGAAAACTTTCATTGCCAGACCATATCTGACTAGCAAGTTCTGCTGCCAGAACTTTGGCTAGGTCACGAGTTACTGACGTTTTTATGTCCCTGAGCATGTGTGTTCATCTCTGCTTTTCTGAGGTGCTGCATGCCCCCATGGCAAGAGACTGTAAGAGCAAAAGGCTGTTGCACACTGGGTAAGAACTCAGGGCTTGCAGACACCAACACTGCTTCATTCTTGGAACATGTACACAGTGGCATGCTGCTGTTAGCTATATGTTGGCTTGTGTTATTCAGAGAAGAAATTTCACTTCAGGAAGAGAGACTGAATTTTCTTGGCTTACATCAAATTAGTTTGAAACCGCATAGAAACTCAGGGCAACTAATGCAGACTTCTGACAGTAAACCTGTATAGCACTGCACACAAAGCAAGCATGCCCAACCACCCTACCGCTTTCAGGTGTTCTGTTCTCTCCAGATGAACTTTCTTGAGACATGAAAAAAAACAGTCTCTGACACAGTAGCAGAAATGGTAGCAAAACTGCATAGAAAGATGGATGCCACAAGGTGCTGGCTGCCTTCCTTTCAGTGTCTCTACCTTTTTCTCCACTATGTGCACTATTAGGATATATTAATTTGCTGCCAGGCTGCATGAATGGAAAGACACACAAGTTAAGGTCAAACCTGAACACTTTTTTTCAGAAAGACCTGAAAAGCAGCACTTCTTGGAAACTTCAGAATATTTCTTTTCAGCTCCTTCAACTGAAAAGAAGAGGAAATAAAAGCTGAAGTCTACATTAATTAGCAGTCCATACTTTCTTGAGTATAGCAGAAAGAAAGCTACAAAAGACAGCTGAAGTGAACAAAAACTTCCCAGTAGTACTGAAATAAAGTGCAAACCTAAAGGAGACTCTTGGGAGACAAAGTAAAAAAAAAAAAAAAAAAGGAAAATAATTCAGTAAAATAAACAAATGTCATAAAATATAAGTTGAGAGCATGCTTCTGAACAAGGGGAGCTGGTATATCAGTAATTCCTTCAGGCTGATAGAGTGTGCTCCCACTTCAAACACCTTTTGTGTCTGTACCTGTGCTGGCAGCCTTTCAAAGAAATCTCACACTTTTTTCCCTCCCCCTCCCGACTTTGCATAATAATTAGTGTGTGAACATGCTTGTGATTTCTTTATTATTTTAATACAGTCGCACTGTAGAGACTTCAGTGAAGTTCCAATTGCCACTGAAGCAGCCCTTGCTCCAGAAAGTATGTAGCATAAACAGACTGGAAAAACAAAGCACAGAGAAATAGTATCATCTCTATGCCATGCAGGGAAAAGCATGTACCAAGCAGCTGTCACTAGAAGAGATTCAAGATCTTTTCAGCAAGTACCCCGTGTCCAACAGCAGATTGCACCAGTTGCTTCATACACTGTGTAATAGAAGGTGAAAAAATCCTGCAGTAAGAAGTGTCATCCATCCTCACATTAGATTTCACCCTCCTTTCGAGAAGTTAGATACAGGCTTAGTCCCTGAAGCACAGTTACAATCACATAATTCTGATTATTTTTTACATTCATACAGGTGTATATATATATATATACAAAGGCAATCCCTGTCTCGAATATTAAATTAGTTTTTTACTCTGACACTGTTCCTAGCGGTGTCATCATAGCAGCCCTCTCAAGATACATCCTTATGGGTAACTTCAAGCACCTGAATAATCTTAATAAGTTCACATGCATGCAAGATAGATCTCATGGGTGACTGTGGGGGCAGGGGCTACAGTTTTGCCCAGTGCAGTATACAAAGTCTGGGAAACTGAACACTGGCCTCTCCAGCTCCAGCCTCTCCCTGATTTAAAATTATAATCCCTAGGAGGGAAGAACAATAATCTGAAAGTGCGAAAGCTGCGAAGGAAAGGAAAACAAGATAATGCATTTAGTGAATAATACAAAATATGAGAAAATAGTGTAAGGGATGGGCGTGATAGAAATACCTTTCCTGAGGCTAAGTGGGTATTGATGTATTTCAAACCCATAAACAGATTTGTGCATGTTCCTGGCTGAAAAGGAGCAGGGTGGAGTTCTAGGTTGTGTTAATACGTCTCTTTACACATTCTTATTTATTGCTTCACAAGGAAAGACAGCAGCAGATGTGAGCAGTGTGTTCTTCTTTTCCCTCTGATCAGGGATTAGTGACAGACATGTCTAGATTTCTCCATCCTTCTGACTATTTGATGAGAGGGAAACAAGATAGCTCATTATCACTCATCCTTCCAACTCCTTGGCTGTGCAAGCATTATTAAGGGGAGCTAATTCAGGAAAAATTAACTGGAAATCAGGTTTGGGAAGTAATTTAATTGAAGGGGGGGGGGGGGGGGGGGAGAGAGAGAACGAAATGAACAGAGAAGGAATCAGTCACAAGGAACCAACCTAGATTGTAAATTCAAATGCAACTGTAAATTTACATTAGCTCCTTCTTTCAGGTCTGTCCTCCATTCTCTTTCTCCTTGGAAGCAAAAGGGAGATCCATGCATTGGTGGTTAAGTTTCAGAATCTGTGGGGACAATAGCCAACCTTTGAGAATGGAATATATTTTTGCAGGATGCCCAACCACTGACTTACAACCTCAATCACTGTATATAATTTCTTCATGGAGTCCTTGCCTCTGACACAGCCTATCAGGGAGGATATGTGGAGAAAAGAAGGCTGCAGGGTGACCTCATTGCAGCCTTTCAGTACTTAAAGGGAGCCTACAAACAGGATGGGTATCAACTCTTTGAAAGGGTAGATAACAGCAGGGCAAGGAGAAATGGTTTTAAGTTGAAGGAGGGAAGTTTTAGGTTGGATGTCAGGAGAAGTTCTTTACTATGAGAGTGGTGAGGTGCTGGAACAGCTGCCCAGAGAGGTTGTGGATGCCCCATGCCTGGAGGTGTTCAAGGCCAGGTTGGATGGGGCCCTGGGCAGCCTGGTCTAGCATTAAATGGGGAGGTTGGTGGCCCCGCCTGTGACAGGGGGTTGGAGATTCATGATCCTTGAGGTCCCTTCCAACCCTGGCCATTCTGTGATTCTGTGAAGAGGCAGAAGGGCAGGCAGATCTCTAACAGCAATTCATTAACAGTTCCATTTAATCAGTTATTTCCCTCAATGGAACGGGGCTCTCGAGGACTACAGCAGTTTGAATGAAACGCAACACTGCATCCCACGGAAGTACTCTGAGACCTATGCAGGAGAAGACACTGCAAGAATGTGCCATCTAGATTGCCCACTGAAAAGCACAGGTGAAACACAAGTGCCTCCTCACCTCAGACCAATAGAAGGGAGATTTGGGCCCCGGGAACAGCCATTATCTTGCAGTGCCTCTTTCATATCCTTGCCCAAATTACCACTCATTAGCACTGCAGTCTTTTCACTCATGGAGAATGTGAATATTATAACACCGCGTTGAATTTTAGAGGGAAATTCTTCACGGTCTTCCTGATAGAGCAGCCTTTTGGAACTGCACCAAGGGCTTTGATCCTAAAACACTTACCTCCAAGCACTAGAGCAGTACCATTGTCTTCAATGGAACTAATCAAGCGCTTAAATTCAAGCGTCTGCAGATTAAGACCCGTGTTTGTATTTTCAGATCTTATCTACAGAAGAAATCGCACCCATTTACCCAAGCGCTTTTATAAACACGCCTTTATTGAGATGAACGCGGCGCTCTTTGCGGATGGGCCGCGCGGCGCACAGCGGTGCCCGTGCCCCGTTCCCAGCGGCACGGAGACGAGCGACAGCTCTGAACGCGGTGGATTTAGGCCGCCAGTGTTTTAATTACGGCGTCAAATACCCGCCGGCCCCGGGCTGAGGGCAGGCAGAGGGGCCGACCTCGCCTCACTGCAGCCCGGAACAGCCGCTCGAGCCCCGAGGCGGCTCCGGCCGAACAGCACCGGCGGGCCCGGCGGGCCCGGCCCGTCCCCCTACTCCGCCCCGCGGCTGCTTCCTCCCCTCCTCTTCCCCGCCGTCCCCGACAGGCCCGGCGAAGGCGGGGGTTCTGTTGGCGCCGCTGGGGCTGCTCGGGGAAGGTGCGTGTTTGCTCCCCTCCTTCTCTTCCTCCTCTCCGCGGGGAGCCGAGCGGGGCGGGACGGGAGAACGAGACAGCCGCAGGGAAGCGCGTGCCCGCGCTCCTTGTCCTGGCTGGAGGCAAGGAGGGCCGGCGGGCCGCCATCGCGGGGCCTCGGCCGGGCGCTGCCCTGTCACCTCCTCCTGCCGCCCGCTCGCTCTAGCTGCGGCCACGCCGAAATGGCGCCCTGCCTTCCGCCTGCCCTGCCTGGGGCCGGCGGATCAGAGTCCTCGGCCCGGCCCCTCTGCCCTTCCTTCTCTGGAGGACAGATGGCTGTGTACTGGTGGCTCTGCGGGCCGCCCTGCGCAGTCAGAAGTAGTACGAAGCAGTACGTTCCTTCGTCTCTCTTGGAGGAAGTTAAAAAGTGTGTCGATTGGCCATTGCCATGTGCTTCAGGGATGTATGGTCAGTGCTTGGTGAGGCATGGCTGCTCAGGGCTCTCCTGGAAACAGCTGGGCTGAAGAGAACGTTGCTCTGAAAAATGTCACCAGACACAAAACTCGCAGGTGTCAGATGAATCGCATAGTTAGGCTTTATGGCACATCGTGGCGAAGAAATCCAAGCATGGAAAATGATACAGTGCTTCTGAGTAGGAAGTACTAGAAACTAGTACCATTTAGGTTTGTTTTGGCAGGGCTTCATTGTTCAAACACTGCTTTTTCCAAGTTGATGTGAAAGAGGAAAGTATGTAAGAGAGAGAGTTTTATACTAATGAATGAAATTATACACATATTTCGTAGAACTGCTAAGAATATGAAAGAAAAATGAAATTAAAAAAAAAAAACAAGAATGAATTTTGCAAGCTGAAATTGATTTTTTTACAAGAAAGTATTTGGTATGGAGGAGCTTTTCAATCTGGTGGCTGTATCTGGCAAGTTGCAAGTCAACTCTTGTGTACTACTGAAGAGAAGGTTCAAAATTCACATGTTGGATTTATGTTTAATTGATGGCAGCTTGCCTCTGCCTTCAAGCTGCAGCACCTTGGGACCTGACTTTTCCAGGTGCTGGAAGAGTACCCAGAAGGCTGCTCAGGAAGGGCCATGCACGTTCACCAGCTGGAATCCTGATTTTGTGGGTTTGAGTTTTAAAAAAAAAAATTGTCTGTCTGGTTTTCATTCAGTTCAAAATTAGATTAATTTTTACTGTTTCTGGAAACTGTTCCACATCTGGTTGCCTTTTTGTATTGAAGCACAGTAAGAGTGTATTAATCTGTTGATGAGAGGGGAGTGCGTGGGTGTTTTCTCTCAGAGAGCAATCTTTGCTATGACTGGAGAACAGATTCCCTGTGTGGGAATGAAAGGACTGTTTACATCTATGTCTTTGTTTAAAATGTACCTTTTTTTTGCTTGAGACAGTAGGGTTTAAGCCAGGATGACAAGGGTTAGCCTTGTTTTTTCTTTAGTTACTTTTATGCAAGGACGAAGGCTTTTGTTAAAAGCCCTTCTCATGCTTATCTCCTACCCCTCCTTGGAACACCTTCCAGTCTTGTCTGATGTTCCTTCTGTTAGATTATTATTTTGAATAAGTTCCACAGTGCATCTTTCCCCAAAGAAACCTTGCAAAGCCTACCGTATCTATGAGAGGTCATAAGCCTTGTTTCCTTGTAAACTTTGACTCATTTCTTCAGACGCATCTGCTCTATCTTAAATAGCATGTATGAGTTGTGCTTTACAATCAGTGTTGCTTTGCTCAGCTTCAGACTTTGAGATGAAGTCTGTACAGATAAACTTGGATCAGAGCCGCTGCAGCTTTACAGTTTCATACTAAGCCTTTGTCTTAGTCGATCTTGTTTCTTGGTGTTTAAGATACATATAATTCTTTTGAACAGCAGAACAATAAGATACTAAATCAGATAAGAACAGATTGCAAAGGAAGAACAACCTGGCATTGACCTCTTTTGGGAGACATCTGTCAGTAAAAGCTCATATAAATTCTTTTTTGTTTTATAACGTGGTTTTGCAAATGCCTGCATGTCTTTAACACCGACTCGGCAAAGGAAGCGACTTACACAGCCTTTTATTGTTGATACAATTGCAGAAACTCATAATGCTCTTGGGATTCATTTATCTATTCCTGCTACAGCATATAAACTTTCTTGTTTCAAGATTGAAAACTTTGTCTTGTCATTTCTTCCTTCTTTCCCAGTTGTGGGAGGATGAAAATGAAGGATGGCAGTACATCTAAGAGATAGCAGCTGCAGGGGTGAAATATTTTGCTTAAAAAAGTACTTTGAGCATAGAAATGTACAAAACGATTACAATCTTGAAGTTCTGCAGTTCTTTCTATTCTGTCTGGACAGAAAATATTATCTGTCAAAAACTGCATTGCAGTAATCTTTCATGTTTTTGTTACCAAATGTCTACAATAATCTCGAGGTACTAAAATAAATGTAAGTTCTTCCTTCATTTGACCCCTCAGTCACTTACATTTTTCACTCTGATAGCAGTAGTGAATTTTTGGCTCTGATTTGTAATCTTCTAAATGCCAATTACTTGGTTAAGTCAAAAGTTCTGGCAGAATGTGCGGAAAATGCCCTACTCTTTTTTGTTTCAGTTTTACAATAGAAGACAAAACTGTACGTCAACTTGAGAAAAATGTTAGCCTTATTATCCTGTAGTTCTAGAAATGATATTTGGGCATTGTGATCCTGCAAGAGGCATGGTTTGGTTTTTTTTTTTTTGAGACCAGGAGAATGTACCGGAACTGTTTGTTTTGTTCTGTTCTAAACGGAGAGCATTGAGACACTCAGCTCATTTGGATTCCGTATTTCCGTCCAGGTATGAAGAATGGTAATATTATCTTAGAGTCTTTTAAATCTAGTTAACATAGGTCTGTTTGAAGAATTTTCTCCACGGTGAGTATGAGAGAGAAAAGTGAAAATTCCTTTGGTTTTGTTGCTGCCAAGTTGGGATTCAGTTGAAATATTCAGTGAACAGGTATTTGGATCAAAAAGTATCTCTTAGAAGCTGTTTCTCTGTGGTCCCCATTGCAATGAGAGCTGTGGAAAAAGATGTGCAATCTTCGAAACCTGGCTGTAAAAGAAAATAAAAATTCTGGTCAGATTTCTCTTAATTCATAACCTGCCAAGATGAATTCTAAATCAAGCTGCTGTATGTTACAGAGAGAGGAGGCTGATCTCGTTTAATGTGCCGTAGACACTTCTTACATCGAAGGAAATACGAACGACGAAGCAGGATTATATTAAACTTGCTCAGCTGACCATCCTGCCTTCAGCAGAACAGTGGCATTTGCCACTGGTTCAAGATTTGCCCAAATTTATTTGTTTGACCCCACTGATTTAGCTTTTATGTGACAGGCAGTTGTCACTCTTCTGAAGCCCATTTTAACATCAGTGCGAGAAAACAGTTCTGGTTGTTAGTCTATTTGATTTTTCTTTTTATTTCTTCTTTTTTCAGTTGCTGGTTATGGTGTCTGCTCTTTTAATCAAATGTAGCAGTAGTACATTTCCTGCTGGAACACTGTGTATGAAAGGGTTTGAGGTCATTCCTCCCCCAGTTTTTCTAGCTTTCATCTGTTACATGTATATTGATATCCCGTGTCTTTAATTTCTGTATTACTTTTTTTTTCGGAGGAGGCACTTGACTAAATTTACATAAGACAAGTGAGTTGAAAGTAATTTGGTGTTTCAAGTAGCCCCACAAAAGGCACTTACATAATATCGTGAGTGTGCCAATAGACATTTGAGAAAAGACTGTGCTTTTTTGAGGCTTTAAAGTGAGATCTGAGGCTGCAGACTCAGTTGGAGAGTTTGTGCTTTTTTTTTTTTATCCATTGCTGTTGAAAAGTAAAGCATAAATTTGATTAATCTGAAATGATTAATCTACTTTCCAAAGGTTTTGAGGTTAGCGTTTCTGATCTTGTTCTGAATCATAGGGCTCACCTTCTAGGACTCTCTCCAGTTGTGCTCTCCCATATGAAACATGATTGTCCTTCCGTGGCAGCCTGCAAAAACACTTCTTGGAATTCTGGTCTGTTGAAATTCTTCATTGCTTTGAAAGCAAACAAAAATTAAGTAATTAATTTTTTTCCAGGTTGATCATATAGTGTAGTGGGCTGTTAATATTTTCTGTTATGGCAACCAGCTAAGTTGTCATAATACCAGAAGAGTATAACACTAACCACAGGTAATGTATTCAGCAGTGCCAAGAGTTATAGAGAACCCTACAAGCAGAAGTCAACTTGATTTTAATTACTAGTTGAGTTCAGATGTCTTTAAGTAGTTGTTAGGTAAAGAGTTATAGGGAAGTTACGTAGTTCAGAAGTTAAAAAAAAAAAAAATAAAAAAAAATATCTCTAGAACAATCTGGAAAAGTTCTGTGCATCAGCTCTCAGTTACTGCCCTGTCAAATCCGGCTGCGGTTGCTGCAGAGGTTTCCACCTCAGCCAGCCATCTGTCCCTTTGCCCAAGGCTCTCCAGTAGCAGAGGTGAGGGAAGGAACAGTTTTCAGGATGCTTTTCAGGATGTCTGCGCTGCCGCAGTCCAACCGACCTTGCTTTGAGTAGGACACCCTCATTTTCTCCTTGACAATAACCTCTGCTACTAATGCTTGTGATGAGTTTCTGGAAACAAGAATGAATGTATTTTTCGCTGGATTGGTTCCCAGAACCAACTTGCTGCCTGACCACATGGGAAATGTTCTGGAGTGAGTGAAAGGCAGTTTGGAGGGCAGAGCCACTGTAGCTGTGACCTATATGGACTTAAGCCATGACTGGTCCAAACTTTTGTTGCGTAGTCCATCAGCTGTTAACATACACCTGTGCTGATTTGAATACTCATTACTACCAATCCAAGATCTCTGATTCGTGTTTTGTTTTGGACTTACCTATTATGACCAAAGAGAAGCCTGTCTGAAGGGCAGTAATGAAAAGAAATCACTCTGTGGCTGCTCTTCAAGGAATAATCGAATGAGGACAGATGTGCTTGTTTTCAGGGCAGCATATCGTGCTGCCTGAACCAGCAAATATGTCTTGCATTGCAGCATTATCTGGGGTACAGTACAGCCATAACTATTGTAAAGACCTGACATAGCCAAACCCAATATTTCTGGCATGAGTGGATCTTATGGAGTTGTTGGTTAATTGCCTCACTTTGGACTGCTGTAGAACCACAGAGCACCTCTGAATTCCTCTCACAAATGCTGTGTCTGATCTAGAAGAAATGTGGATGGAGCAGCTTACTGTGATAGTCAGAACATCTCTTTACACTTTGCTGTGCTTATTGCAGGTAGTGGCTGCCTTCAGCCTCCCTTCTTAATTTTGGCTGAGGCAACAATTTTTTTGTTTTGTTGGAAACAGATATAATTAAGAATAAAATGATTATCTTTCTGTGTTTACATATGGCTGTGAACTGAAAACTCATTAGCAAGTATTTATTCCTAGAGTAAAAAGTATTTTCAGTGGTTTTTTTTTTTTCTTATAGTTGGCAGTTTTCTCATTGCTCATAGGTTTTTGGCTCAGAATATTGCTTTTGAGTGAAGATAATCCT